CGAGTCCATACGCCCACCAGTGCCTGCGCAGATGCTAGAAGCGGCACTGGGCCGGCGCCGCGGCGAGTGTGTAGCAGGTAAATGAGTGGTGGTCAAGATCGGGAGGCTCGGGACGAGCGGGGCGACGGGGCCACAGGACGTCCACGGCGACCAGTGGTCCACCACTGGCGGGTCTATATGAAAGCAAAACGCAAGGCGCAGAGCACGCTGGAGGCCTACCAGAGCACGCCCGGATGGTCCCGGAAGGCGCGCAGAAGCGCTGGGGTGGCACAAGATTAGCTGTGAGGAGAGGCAGGAATGCGGGCGAGGAGGATAGACTGGCCGTTGATCCGCTGGGCGACGGCAAGGCGACGGACGCTGAACAGCGGGCGGGCGAGGCGGAGGGTGGATATACATAACGGCGGGTTATGGAAGCCGCGGCATCCCTTTGCGCCGTCTCTGCACTCTTCGGGACGAGAAAACTAGCCATGCACAGTCGCGTGTGGAGAGGTGCGCAAAGCGGCGCCGAGGAGAGGGCAAAGGAGAGGTGCTGAACCTCGAGAAACAAGCTTAAGCCAGCGAAGCGATCGTAGGCTGCCTGCAAAGCGGGCCGGCGGCGCCCCATGGCTCACTGTCGTGGCTAGGTGCCTGATTGTGGGCATTGCGCAGTGTCAGTGTGGGTCCAAACAGGTCCGTACTGGAGCAGCGCAATTTTGGGGATTGGCACCTGCCTATCATATGAATAAAACAATGCTCGTTGATTGGCGACTATGTACCTACCCCGGATAACTTTTTTCGAATTTTTTAGAATTATTTTACCAACATTCTGTGCTCATTGTCGACGGCGATGGCAACGGCTGCTGATCACTGTGATGGACGCCGACAGCGAAGATGTGATGTTGCGATCACATTGTTGATGCAGCGTCGTTATGCAAGGGAACCAGAGGAGCCATGATGCATCATGGGCATGTCAGAGCTACAGGTCTTGATTCATCATTCCTATTATGACGGTCCGTTCTGGACAAAACCAAAAAATAGTAGTGATAAGTGAAATTTTTGATGATAGATGATGACGCACCTAGTGCTGGGCTTACACTATGATGATGAACCTCGGTGATTGTGAAGCACAAGTCAAAGTAATGATCGTTAGCGACACTTGATGCAAGCTTGATGATCGTCGATCCATCTTATCAGAGTGCTAGTGCTGGTCATTGTTCCTCGACCAGAGTCAATGAGTGACTGTTTTGCTGATCAGTGTCAATGATGAAGGGCTTTTGAGTCGGTGTTGATCCGTAGTTCAGGCCGGTTATTGATAGGGCTCCAACCATTTCTGTGTACAAACGTTTGTACACGGTTATAACCGTTTTTATTTTCATTTAGTTTACCATGGTATGTAAATGGTAAATAAATGAAAACAAATGGTTTAAATGGTTATTCCCAGATAACAATAGCAGACATGCTCATGACTATGTTACTACCAGGTATATATCTGGCTACCACAATCCAAGGGGGGTTCAAGATCCTTATCAGGCACATGGGGTAGGGGGGAGGGGGGGGGCTCCCCGGGGGGTAAAAAAACTTTTTATATATGAAAGATTTGGGCCTTATATGGGTGTAAAGACACTGAAAATATAGTGTATACACTCTCATTTCTATAGTTCACAACCCCTATACTTATATCTATATACTTTCAGGTCCATGAGCCTGGATAGTACACCCTATCACAGGCCCATCATCAGGTAATGGATGAGAGGTGAACATATTGAACAGTGATATGGCCTGCCATGTGTATTTAAGGGTTCCAGGTATATAGATACCTACACACATACATATACAAACACATAAAATTTTTAGAAAAAAAAAGTTTCACAAAGATTAATTTTTTTATGCTAATTTTGATCGCATTAGTAGTCACATGATGCTAATCGTGGGAACATATTACCCTATATGGCAAGAGGGGGGGAGGGGGGGTCCCCGGAGGGTCGGAAAAAAACTTTCCGACCCTATATCCGTGATTCAGATCTTGAACCCCCCTTGCCACAATCCATACTAGTGTAGGACATACCTTCCACATAAATATAGATAGTTGTTGCATTTGTAGGCTTCTTCTTAAAGGAATCCATCACATGATCTGGCATCAAATAAGCCAAAGGCAATGAATCTTGCCCTACATGCCCATCTAGAACAGTATTACAAGTGAGAAAATGTCATCTTTCAGTTGAATAAACCTTATAAACTCAAGTATGTACCATAAAATTGTTGATCATTTTATATTATTATATTACCATTTTTAACCGTTTTTAAATGGTAATAAACGTTTAGTAAACGTTTTCTTACCATTTCCATTTAGTTTACCTGGAGGTGTAAATGAAAACTAAATAGTTGGAGCCCTAGTTATTGAGCTATCTAAGTGAATGACACTCTAACACTCTCGGGACACTCTCGGGACTGCGGTCGTCGGGAAAAGAGTAGGGTGTGTGACATTGTAATAGAGAATTTGTCGGTGTGTTGTTACAGCTTGTAATGCCAACAGACAATAACAAGCCCTTCATAGAACAGCTGTCAGCCGAGGGCTGTAAAATGCTAACAAGCGGCTTGGAAGTTATCCACAAATCTTGTGAACATTTAGCATTACAACTAGGTATAAATCACTCAAAACCCAACTAACATTATGTACAAGTATTTTTGTTGGACCGTAGATGATGCATTACACACAAATTACACAACCCCCCATTGGGACTCCCATTTTCAGTTATCACAGCGTCTTTCGTACTAGTTTATTGGTCTATCATAACAACTTCCCTATGGAACGAGCTCGGCATTTCGAAAGTCTCTGATTCATGATCGAGGACTGCATTTCAAAAGGGATCTCGTCATACTCGCTTGGTTCGGAAGTAGTTTAATAGGCCGACTCGGACAGAATGTCGGGAAATGTTGAATGAGACGAGGGGCCTTATTGAAGTGGTGAACTCCGATTCAGACAAGCTTCCCTGATCAGCAGCAATAAACTAATTGCTTGGTCCAGATGACGAAGATGGCAACAGTGGGAACATAGGGTGTCGACGATGACGATGGACGAAGAGGAGGATGAATAAGGCGCAGCCAGACGAGCGCGTTACGTTCGTTAGATCCGACGACTCGCAAATGTCGAGCCAGTCTGATTTGCCCAATCAGTCGCTGGTGTTTGCCCACTTCCGCTACCACCGCCTGTGCCCGTTCCCGTGCCAGAGCCGTTCTCATTGCTGTCAGAAGGCCCCTCCTCAGTCGTGTTCTCCTTGTCTGACGATGAATAAGATGCATCGAATCGGGAGCTGTAGGTGTATCCAGACGAGCTTGACCGTGGTCCACCAACAAGTCCCACTCTGGGTTGCCTTCGAATTTCACGAGTCCGAGCAAGCAAAGACACTGCTCCAGTGCAAAGAAACAGGTGAGTCGGACCCGACAATACAGAGCCCGAGCTATAAATGTAGCTCGAATCCGATTACAAGTCCAAATAGTCGCTTTGGGAGTATCAAGCATGCTTGCGCTATCTGGATAGCTCAACGAACTCGGCACGACACTGAACGACCCAGTACCACCAAACTGGGAGGGACTTCTGGTGAGCGAAAAGGTGTTGGTGCCGGTACCAGTGCGAGACCGACAGAGTTGGAGTAAAGAGTGTCGTGCTTGTTGTCCGACTGGCGCTCCGACTTTCGCTATTGCTGCTGGTGGTTTTTGCGCTGCTTCCTGGCTCCGACTGTCCGCGACAAGAATAGATCGTCCGAGCTGCCCGATGCAGCGCTTGAACGATTATACGCCTCGTCAAGCTGGCCCATGGACCCACGACACCGACGCCTGGTTCACACTAGTCAGACATGTCAATGTCAATGAGGCAAAAAAACATACAACTTGGAAGTCGGGCAGCGACAGTTGGAACATTATCTCTTGCGCTCGGGTTGGGCTGGGCATACTTTGCAGTCGAGAAGATGCAACCAAGAGCCTCCTCGTAAGGCTGTAAAACATTGTGAACCAGTCGGTCGAATGGATGGATCCCGCGTGGTCTTCCCCATTAATGGAGAAAAGGGTAAAGCAGGGCGTTCTTTGGCAATGGCAATGTCCAGCCTTAGTCTAGTTGGCGTATCGACAGTATAAAGAGCTGAGAGGTGATATTTGAGTCTGGGTCATGTGTTGGCCGTTGTGGATAAAGCGGTGTGATATTGCTGGAGGAGGGTACAGTTTGTGTGTTGCTTTGGCTCCCGCCGCTGAAGAAACCTCCGCCCGTTACTGAGGATCCAAAGTAGCCACCGGTTTTGATGTTCACGGCCTCTGGCGCTTCATTAACCCAGCGCTTGACGACATCCTTAGCTTGCGGGAACACACTTATGGTATGCCGAGATCAACGAAGGAGATGAAATGGAAGGGTTTCGGTCAACGATGGCAGCTTTGAAAAACCGTGCGACACCTTGGCTATTTTTCGTTGATTTTTCGTGTTCAGCATTCGAAAGTATAGAGATATGTCAAATCAACGCTAGTGTTCTGCAGGGCCGGGCTACCCGAGCCCGCCCTAATTCGGGCCGGGCATTGCAGGGCCCGGGCTCGCCGAGATCCTGAGCCCGAGCCCGAGCCCTAGCCCGGCCCGAAAGCCCTAGGGCTCGGGCCTCAAGCCCTGTCTGTGGGGGAAGGTCAGTACACCGTCATTCCAAGCAGCGGGCGACGATTTTGATCATCCATCAATTCCATCAGCAATACAATAATCATGTCGACCGGCTTGTACGGAAAGATTAACCGGGTGACAGGTTGCCAGCTTGGCCCGAGCTACCGGAGGCTTGTTGCCGGGCTATGATGTGACAAAAAAGTCACATCAATCACGTCGGCTGGGCAGCCGGGCTCATCAGGGCCGAAGCCTCGGCCCAGGGCTTTCCAAATCTCAAGCCCGGGCCTTGAGCCTTGGAAAGCCCGGCCCGACCCTACTTAGGGCTCGGGCTACCCGACCAGGGCTGGGCCGGGCTTCAAGCCCGAAGCCCGGCCCTGCAGGTCACTAATCAACGCACGTCGATGATATCGCAAAGGGCCCGAATGGCACTTGGCCGATAGATGACCTCCGCGTTGGGCTGAATGTCTTTTTGGATGCTGCTCGTTAGCATTATGACAGATTCCGCCGTCGTTGCGAGTTCCTTGATGGCCAGGTATACCGCCTGTCGCAGGGCGGCCTGCAAATCCACGTCAGTTAATAGTTTAAAAACACGCTCGGTAAACTGCCTGTACATCTTTGTGCTGCAATAGCTTGGTAGCGCCGAAGAAGAGAGTAGTAGCCTCTTGTGTGTTGAAATTCTCGCCCGCATATAGGAGGCACACGATGTGCGTAAGCAGCGCTCGACATTTGCGGGGGCTGATTGGAGACTCGTTGAAGACGCGGGCTGCCTGAATGATGGTCGTTTTGTTGTTATAGTACGAGCTCAGCCCGGAAGCGCTTTCGTCCTCCTTCTTATCAAACGGTCTTCATGATTCTTGAGAGTTTTACCACAGAGTGGGCATTCATTTTGGCCTTGGGCATTGTTGTATTGATGGGCGGGAGGTATGGTTGGGCCACCACTCAGACCGACCCACCTGGTGACTCGGTCAGACTGAGTCTGAGTCACTGAGATGGTGGCCAAGAAGGAGAAACGTGCCAATGAGTATGTAATCAATCAGTTGTTTCCAGATAAGAAACAGTCTCATAAACCAGCCGTCGTTACAGACGATTCAATCCGAGACGAAACTCAGTTAATATCCCAAAGTGCTCCAAAGATGTCATACTTTACGTCTAAATCAAATAAGTCACATATCAGTCACAATTAAGAGCAGGGAATCGTCCCACCCACTAATTTAACGTAACATCAAATTTCATTGATCACAACACTCTTCTCGGACTTGGCTTGACTAGCGCTCTGTAACGAGGGCTGGTTCATGAGACTGGATAAGAAAGTCGAATCAGGAAGTCGAATCATTGAAGGCAACGACACAGAACATGGATATTCATTGGTGCGTCTCTAGAACACATTGGAGTGTAATGTAGTTAGTTGATGAAGTACGAAAGGCAAGAATTGGTGTGAATCAATACGAAGACTAAGGACTAAGAGGTTTTTTTTACTTGTCATTTTCATGGACCGCATTTCATTTCATTTCCAGTCTGAGCTAGGCTTGGGTCTTGGAGTTACGCTTCCGTTTGGGCTTGACAAACTTGGGAGTGTCGGTTGTGACTCGTAAGCTCGGATCCCTCCAAAGTCGTTAGAGTATGGTTCGAGAATAGGAATCAAGCAACCGACCTCAACTTATCCACAATGCCACGAATAATTCCACCAAGCTCCTCTTTGTGCAAAGGGTCTCCAAGGGTTGCTAACATAGAAGAAACAGTCCAGTCATGGACAGGCTCCAAAACGTCAGACTCAAATTTCATCCCCGCTGGAGATTGTGCCTCGAGTAGAAGATGATGAATCTGGTCATCTTCAGCAGAAAAGCAATGAATAGGAAGAGAACAAACCACAACTCCCGCGAACGCCATCAGTCGGATAACAGTTTGTTGCGATGTGAAGGCCTCTGGGTTTCTGGTGTAGATATGAGACTTTTCGGCTATATCGATGGCGAGGTCCGAAAGGAAAGGGCTAGAGAAGCGGCCAGTGTCAGGGAGGCGCTGATTTGCCTGGCTCACAGAGCCCACAGCATCTGAACGCATCTGGCCATCCGCAGACACGGCAGCTGTAGAACCCTCAGGCTCTTCCCCACCTGCAACCTTGACCTTCTTCAACATTCGGTAGTTGAACTCATCGTCATTGGGCTAGGATGAATTCAGTAGTGAACGAACACAGGCTTGTTTCAGGACGAACAAATGTTCCATGAAGATAGAAATAACCGAGGAGATTTTCGCTAGCTTTTGAGGCCATTATCTTCTTGATCTCGCCATCTGTGTAGGGCTGGCCATTTTCTGGGTTCCGACATTCGGCCTTGGGAACAAGATAAATTCCCTTTAGTTTTTTGACCAGTTTGAGGGAGATTTTCCTGCTCTGCGATCGAAAGTAGCCGTGTTTGTTCTTGACCTAGATATCGGACAAGTGTCAAAGCAATTTCAGGATAAGTGATCCCACGTACGAAGCTGATCATGGCGTTCTCGTTCTCCGCGATTACAGCTGAGGCATTATTAGGCACGATGGTACGCTCAATCAAAATGGTACATACCCTCGGTTATGGACGGGTGAGCAGCTCTGACTTTCTGGATCATACTTTGAACGACTTCTTCGGCAGGGGGGGAGCGCCAGAGCTGCAGAATGATACTATTTAGCATACCATTACGCGAAAACTGTCTGATCGCATCTTCCAGTTCTTGGTTTGACAATTGCAATTTCTTGATAGCGCCCGCGAGAAGTGGGTCCTTAGTATCGGAGTTCGAGCCAGAGGGCATCGGCAGGTTCACTCCCATCGGCTCAACTGAGGAGGAGGAACGAGAGGCAGTATTCCCAGTCGATGGAATAGAACTTTGCCGTTAAGAAGAGGGCGCCAGTCGTGTGCTCGTCAAAGATTTGGGTCCCCGGTAAGGCCCTCCATGCCCCGGTACCTACAATAAATCAGTCCGAGCTATTATAACCAATAATACATGGTAACTGACCGTTTCCTGACGGGATGGATTGTTGTTTGGACCCATGGAATGCTGAACAGGAGAGAGCGGAATCGATTGTTGACCATGACCACTAGAGAAGTCGCCGCCTCGATGGCAGAAAAAGGATATGGGTGGTGGTATAAGTTGTCGTTGTTGTTGTCGTGCAAGTCGTGCAAGTCGTTGTGGGAAACATCTCGGAGTCCATGTCGAAGTTGCATCTCTGGATTCCATCCAAAGATCTTCTCGGCGTCGACAATACCATGCTCCCCACGATTAGGGTCTGCGAGAGGCAGCGACGGTTGGATATCGTCCTCCATACCAGATTGTAAATTTTGCGGTTCAGAAGACAAAGACGAACCTGAGGTTGTGTCCAATCAACATGACATCGGCGTCCACCATCAGTCTCGTAACGAGTTGCTCTCGAGTGAGGGCTGCTCAACGTTCAAGCCTATAATTAGCTTGAGTGTTAAAAGGGAGTTTCATCATGATGACGGTGTTGCATTGACAAGTGGCTGGTCACGCTTCCTTACTATATAACCACCATGTCTTCCTCAACTCGACATTCTGGATCTGAATCGTCTTCGACAAGCACAGAATCCACTCTAACGCAGTCCACACTGGAGTTCATTGAAGAAAATGCTTCGTCGTCTCTGATTTCACCCGCCTCAACACATATACCAAGAATGATCGTTCGTATACTTCAAGAACAACACTGCTTCTGCTCATACCCTCCTTAGAAGCTTCACTATGAGAATTGGACTCTTCGGGTGCCTGATACTATAACCGAAGCCCACGAACTCCTTCATATGCTTCGCTCTCATCGACGGTCCTGTGTTGCCCAGAAAACAGCGGCAGAACAGCGACTTCACACCATGATTATTTGCGTCAACTTTCTCCGGACGGAAATTGACCGGGAGGCAGAGCGAATCAAGGAGGCGGATAGTGATATTGGCCAAGCACGCCAGATGATCTCTTTGAAGGGTCTACCAGATATCTTTTCGTGTTCAGAATGTATTGCATGAATGATTTCTCTCCTCTTATATCTCATTTCTCTCATCTTATATCGCATTCTTGTACCTTGTATGTATCTGTACAAACATAATTTTGTGTCATTTTGTTTCGTTTTGTGTCTGGGGTGTCCAAACGAGGTGATCTAACTAAGATAAAGAGGACGAGTCAAAATGCAACTGGATATGAACGAAGTACTAAAATCTATTACACTGCTTAGCTGACGAGGAACTAGGTCAGGTATGCTATTTTTCAAAGGGCTTAGCCACGCATACTGACATCGGCGTCTAGAGATCCGACGACTGGGTTAAAGCAGGGAAATCGCTCCTCTCCTCCTCCTCCAATCCATTGTCAACAGCGTTGATGAGAGCTCTAAGCTGGCCAATGAGATCTTCTGCCCGAACCTTTGTACTCGCCAACTCTGACTCGGCCTCCAATAGTTTTCTTCTCAACTCTGCAGCCTGCCGTTTTGCCCGAGAAACTTCTAGTTCAGTCTCACCGAGCAATTCCAGAGCGGTCTCCCGTTCTTCAGTGACCACGGTCATTTTCGCTTGGAGTGAGGAGACTTTGGCTTCTCTCTCGAAGCAATGAGTGCGTAAAGTCTTGATGGTCGAGTTCAAAAGAACAGTGTCCTCTTTCACCACCGTACTGTCCGCAAGAGGTAGCGGCGCCGAGAACAAACGCGGACTTGCCGCTCTGGGGTTTGTCGGAAGAGAATATCGGGTTGAAGCCCAACCCGATAGGTGATGGCGTATACAGGCCGTTGAGAGAAGTACAGCCAGTGATAAGTGGCGAGCTGGTCGAAACTGACATTTGCAGGTTTCTGAAAGAAAATGATGAGAGATCGTCGACGAGACCTACAGGATACGAACTCGAATTAGGAAGGAGTCGTTGATGACATGTTATTGCTGATAGCCACCAGCCGTGTCGGAGCAAAATCTGCAATGAAATTGAGCCTACAAATAGAAACTCGAGAGGAAGGACGGTACACTTCATCGCCCTTCTTCCAGCCTTGCACACCTTGGCCGACCTCTTCAATGACGCCCGCAATGTCGCTACCAAGTATGGCAGGATAGGAGTCGATGAGCATATCCATTGAGCGACGCATGGGGTCCATTGGATTAAGTCCAACCGCCATGACTTGGAGCAGAACCTGGCCGGCCGCGGGCTTAGGGATGGCGATGCCGCTCTTCACGATGAACGGTGCTTTGGGAGTCTCGATGACGACGGCTGTTTGAGTGGGAGTAGACATTGTGTGTATGGAAACAGATTTTTGCGTGTTAGCTTGGGAATGGCGGATGGGTTATCCATATCGTCGATATTTAAAGGTATCTGCAAGCAGCACTTCCGCTGGAGATTAGCAGCGTCAGCGTGCTTTCGTGGTCGTTCGGAAGCTTGAGAAAAAATGAATGATCCCTACCGACACGACGATTATGTCAGCCAATTGGAGGTTGTTTCCACTCACATGCGTTCTTCTTCTCAAGTCCGGGCCGCTGGCCATATCTGCTCACGAGGGATCCCGCATATCGCTCCTCATGCCTTCCTTCTTCCAAGTTGCAGTCGTTGCCGCCTGTGTCATTGGCGCAGCGGCGGAAACACTTACGGGAATACCGACATTTGACTTCAACATCACATCCACCGACAAACTTCAGCTTTCTTCGCTTACCCACGTCCTTGTCGACTCACGGTTCCAACACTCTGTGGACTTAGCCGGACAGACGCTCATCCCACCGACGCTCCTGGAATTTGGCCAAACATTTGCGGCCGATCTCAAAGTACCTGGACTCACAGACATCCCGGTGCAGGTTGCAGACTGGGCGCAGCCTGGCTCCATTTTCCTCACGTTGTCAACGGATAGGGCGTTTTTCGACGCCGCTGGTCGAAATACATCGGAGGGATACACATTAACGGTTGGGACCCAAAATGTCGTTATCGCCGGTGCTAGCCCGCTTGGCGCTTTCTGGGGAACAAGGACCCTACTTCAGCAGGCAAAGCTAGGATGAAATGCTTTGTCAATTGGCTCTGATAGCGATTCGCCTGGTTGGGCTACTCGCGGTGTTATGGTCAGTCTCGACCTTCCTTGTTGGTCCTGCTGATTGTTACTCCAGCTTGACGGAGGAAGACATTTCTACCCGCCGGAGTTCATCATCGAAATCTGCTCGTACTTGTCTTTCTTCAAGCAGAACACCTTCCACCTGCATCTCAGCGACAACCTCTTCAATAATGTCGACATTTACACTCGCCAGCGCTCCCTTGAGCTATATGCCGCGTTCAGACTCAACTCCGATGACCCAGCTGTTTCAGGCTTAGTCAAGCCCTATCGGTTCAACGAGAGTTACACTCGCGAGACATTCGACAATATGCAAGCTTCATGTGCAGCTCGTGGAGTCACTGTAATCCCAGAAATTGAAGCTCCAGGACATCCATTAGTCATCTCCCAGTGGAAACCCGAACTCGGTCTGGCTGATTTGTACTGCAACCCATGGACGCGAGCGTTTCTTCGCCACATCTATTGCCATCCAGAAAGAGCTCAAAGTCGAGAAACGAAAACACGAGCAGCATATCTCTACTCTAGATAAAACCAGGGCTCGTCTTGACAAAGCCGATACGATCTTGACGACAACAAGGATGAAGGCGAGTCGCCTCGTGGAAGATCTACAGAATCTGGTTGTGGCGGTCGACTTGGCACTCAGCAAAGTGGAAGAGGAAGGGGACGTCTCAATGCGTGAGATTGATTTGTCGTATACCTCTGATACCGTCGACATGGTCTGAAATGTGTGTTGCTTTGGTTTTGCAGTCAAGTTATCGTAGTCTTTTCGTATGACAAAAAACAATATCATTCTTGGTTCTTACTCTCATGGCTCGCGATAAAAGTCCCCTTTTTCTCTGCTTAAGGCTCGTTGAAGTCGGTGCTACCGACGCCTGGCTCGTGGCGCTTGTCATCCTGTGACTCTGCATCCTCTCGCTTGTCGCAGCACTGTCACTGGTCAGAACCAGCAGAGAGCGAATCCGCCGATATCCCTCCAACCACAACACCGTCTACTTGGAGTGAATCCAGCGAAGACAAGCCTCACCCAATTTGCTGCAGAATGGGCGATAGCGAGCATCTACAATCAAGTCCGCGACAATGCAAGAGATTGGATATGGTGAGTGAGACATCAAATGAAAGAAGCGCGGGGCTCACCCAGTTTGCCAAGGCTTCAAACGCAAAAGCTCCGGTTTTCGATAGTGTTTCTGGCAGGGATGTACCGGTAAGTGAGCTGAGAAACAAAGAGAAATATGAACTCACCAATTCTGACGGGACTTCAAACGCAGAATCGAGGCGGCCATAAATGGAGCGCGGAGGGATTAAACTGGAAAAAAGTAAGTGCGTACATTGGTCGAACAGTCCCGGACACTCACGCATCGAAGATAAAGGATGGATGAGGGTGTACCTTTAAGACGTTGGCGTGGATGTTGAGGGAACAAACTGGACAAGGTAGGCAAACACGTTCAGGAAAAGAATATGAACCACTCACCATGATCAAGCCCGTTGCTACCAAGGCCGACGCTTGAGCCAGTGGGAAGCGGCGAGAACGATCAAGTCAGCAATAACAATGGGAACGTGCGAGAAAGAGGCATCGAGGGCAACACGAAGGACATGCTGGACACGGTGGTCAGTATATCGTTCAGGCTTTTGCAAGTACTTACTGTTTTCAAGGACATGTCATTGGTGGCCAAATCCAAGCTGAGAGCGAAACCACGGGGGAGGGGTGGTCTTCAAGTTGGCTTGTAGCAAGTGGTGCTCTTGTCATTGAGCCAGAACCCACTGCCACCATTTCCCCCACTCCCCCAGCGGCTTCGACACCTTTGTTGTCGCTACCGACTACTTCGACACCGATCATGCCGGCACTGGTTATGGCGACGCAAACCAAGTCGCTCGGGCGGTCTTTTGCTCTTATTGTTGGGTTGTGTGGGAGTGTGCGGCGCTCCTTGTTGAACTGGGCGGAAGTAGGTCTAATGAGACTGGGTCCCAAAAGGCCAGCCACTCCAAGGCAGCCAGGACTCCGATACGGTAAGTCCATAAAGCCGTTGCGAAAACTTCTCATTACCATGGCCCAACCTTGTCAGAACCAAGTAGTCCGAAACGGAGCTCGATTACAAGACTGCGGCCCTCAAGGCTCAAGCGAAACGCCAGCCATCTCAAGGCAGCCAGGACTCCGAAACGGATATCCTGGTCCACGAAGTCGTTGCGAAACGCTTTGACTTATTCTCACCACCTCATCTACATAGACATGAGTGACAGCAGTTGGCCAGACCGCTGTTTCGTCCAAAACAAGGTGGGGAAGGAAGTTGAATACGAGCTGACTTGAATAACAAAACCACAGGAGTGCTTTGACTGTCCAAGTCCTGAGCTTTGTCTGTGCTTGTCCTGTGCTTTGACAATGCTCTCGCCGAGGCCGTGCTCTTACCCTTTGTTGCGCTATAAAATCGGGTCTCCTTACCGCCCACCTTCTCATACCATGGCCCGCATCCCGAACTCGACACTTGTCCGAAAAGCAGCTCACAAGACCCCTTCTCACTTACCCAAACAACATACTAAACCAATTCCTATCTACAACAAGCCGAATCAGGATGCTATCCGAGAAATGAAAAGACATTGGAACAGGACAAGATTTCGTGAGTAAAGCCTACCAAACTTGTATTTTCTCTTGCTCATCCTATCTTCCAGTTCGTCTCAATAGCTTCTCCTTACGCCGGGCCAACACTCCAGGTCAACAAGGGTGGCAATTGGCAGATGACGTCCAAATCCGGGATATAGATTTGACCGGCATTCAAGAGCCAGTTGCGGTTTTGGACGAGAATAATCAACTCTTAGTGGCAGCATTCCCTAAGGGACTGACGAAGAAGTCTGCGGTGCGCAACAAGTTCCGTGTCATCACTTATGTTCATTCAAACCAATAGGATATGCTACTGCATCACATTATCACCCTTGCGTAAGCCACCAATGTACATCCTCTCGAAGGCTGGTGCCGATGGCCGTGTGGACAGCTACATCATCAAAGAGGGTCATCGCTGGAGTGATGAAGCTGAGTCGGTCCTGATATGGAATCGGGCACTCGGTAAGCCCTTCTTCAAAATTGTGGTCACATTTTTAAAGTCTGCAGCACGCCATGCCCGGGCCAGCAAAAGATGTGACAAAAACCTAGAACACACCGCTTCTATCGCGATGTGGCTTCTGTCTCTCACCGAATCAATGCCATGATCAACGTTGTTGATCCTGTGGCATACCGTGGCCTCCAAGAGCTTCGCACCCTCTCTCAGGCTGAACAACAACTCGAACATGTGGTGTCCACGATCCTCTCCTCATGGAGGGTCGGGAAGTAATGCTCAACCGAGACAGTCCCGAACACTACGATGAGCAAGACCCAAAGGATCTCTATGTTCTTCTCGACTTTCAAGGCGGCGTCTTGGTTATCCCGGAGCTTCATATTCGTCTACGGTACCTTCACCGCTCAATGGTGATGCTTCGAGGCAAGGCATTGGCACATTACGTCGAGCCTTGGACTGGTGGTCAAATAGTTTGTCTCGCCCACTTTTCTCATGCGTCTTTTTGGCGTTATCTTAATGTTGAAGTTCCAGAAGCAAAAGGATTAGTAGTGGGCGACGATATTCGGCTTGTCTGGGAGAACAAGCGGGGAAGAAGGAGTAAGTTGCCAGAGGACATTAAAATTAGAAAGAGGCAGAAGGAGATTTATAGATCTACTGTAGGTAGCCGAAAGGCAACCAAGTAGCCAGCGTTGCAATGTAGCTCACTTGCCATAGTCGGTGTTGGATTGGATGGTGGCGATCGTGAACAATCTCTGTCTGGCCGAAAAAGGAGATCAACGTCTTCTCTTCTTCCTCCATGTCGACCACCAATCGACCACTCCGTCAACAACACGTAGCACGTGGTTTACTCCTCTCTACCGCACTGCTCTTGGACGAGCTCGTGAATGGGCCACGCCAGAGCCTAACCGTTGATGACGATGAGGTAGCAGCAGCTTTTTTGCAGCAGAGATCTCCTCTGCCTTCAGCCTCCTCATACACACCTCTTCGCATATACCACCCCCAAGTACGGCTTTGGCCAGTTGCATGTGCAGATGGTGTGGCCATGCAGTGCCAAAACTAGGCCGTTTTGGCTTGAATAACCACGACCGACTGAAAACAACTCGCGCGTTGGGCGAAAGAAGTCCATACGTCTTCAAACTCGACTTCGGCCTTGGAGCGACTTTCCACCACAGTACGGAGGCTTCAAAGTGCGTTCTTTGGCCAGCTTTCCGAATTGTCAGGCTGATTTCTTGCAGAACCTGTCAAATGCGCCACCAGCGCCGTATTCTCTCCGCTTTCCTCCCTTCTCCTCTGTACTACGACTATATTTGCCCTTGTCGACAATGAAATACCAGCTAGTCACCATTGCCATCGTTTGTCGCCGATAATAGCCCCAATCACCTCTCACACCAAGAACTGCCCTCGGTGGCCCTTGGCAACCCAATAAATGCCCCCCCGCACCTCACCTCCTTTTGGTTAATCACCCGCCGCCGCCCCAAAATGATTCACTGCTCTTGTTTTCGACTTCGCCAATGCCAATCTCGTCCAACATCCTACAATGGCATCTTTGGCTGTCTTCTCGCCCATGAAGAGTACCCGTCGTTTATAAAAGGTCTCCATCTGTTCCAGAGACTATGTACGGTTTACAAAGCACTGTCGTTGCTACCTTTTCGTGCAAAGGTAGCTGCTGTAGCCGATACGCTTTATCATGGCTCGCAGCGTTTTGCGGCTCAAACCATGGCTTCCACAGCAACCATTCATCTGTCTTGACCATGGCCATTTGCTCTCCGTCCATTCCTTATGCCAACCAGCCAGGAATTCACTACTCGGCCAAAGGACGATCATTCGCGTCACAACGACACGCTTTCCACATTCGACATGCCAGTTCTTGGACATGTCGCGGACGCGAATTGAGTCTCTACTTGCATCGTTTCCAAAGCTTTTGCCTCCGCCATCTAGCACACAACACACACTGATAGAAACACCAGATGTTCGCTACGTTCACCAGCCACTGGAGGAACTCTACATCCTGCTGATTACCAACAAGGCGTCTAATCTCCTACGAGATATAGACATGCTCCACCTTCTTGTGCGTGTTGCCTCTGACATGTGCCAGAGCGCAGCCGAGAGCGAAGTTGCAACACGAGCCTTGGAACTGCTTGGCGCGTTTGACAAGGTGGTTGGGATAGGTTGGCTCTGTGAACCTTGTTCAAGTCAAGAATGCTCTGGAGATAGAAAATTACGAGGAAAAGATTCAAGAGATTATCGCCCGGGTACGTCTTTGGAAAATCAACTCTGGCTTTTCTTTGTCTGGATATGGCGGCGGCATCATTGGCTATTCACCCGTACCCACTTCATATACCCCACCGCCTCCCACTGTCTCAACTCCCATCAATCTCAATACTGGTATAGGAGCACGCGCGCCTTCATTCAGAGCTTCTGGAATAAAGTTGGGCAGCAAAAAGACCAAGCAGGCCGAACTTATCGACGCGCTTGGAGGCGACTACATGGCTTCTGGTATCGGTCTGACTTCTGAACCCCCAACTCCTTCCGTTGCTGCGGCCCCGCAGACTGTTCAATCTACGAACAAAGGCAGAGGAGCCTGCCCGAAGTTGTACCAGAAAGGTTTGTCCCAAACCTTGTCAGATTCCTTGTCGAAACTCAATGATCCACATAGCATTAACATCAGTATCGCCGAGCAAATAACCTGCTCATTACTCCGTGATGGAGGTTTAGAGAAAGACATCGAGCTCAAAGGAGACATGAACCTTTTAATCTCCGACCCAACGACAGACGATTCCAACTCACTCGTGGCAGCCTTGCAATTTAAACAACACCCACAAGTCGCCAAGTTCGATGCGAAGGCAAACCGCAATGAGGCCAAGAAGATTGCTCTTCGTGACGCCTCAAAGACCTTCCTCATCAACCAAAACCTGGCGGTATAAAGGCAACAATAAATCCGCCGTTCCGCTTTCCAGTGGGCTATATCTTTCATTTGATGTTATGTTTCAAGCTCACACTACGCAGTAAACTGCTGGCCCACACCTTCAAACGATGGTACATGCGAAGTCAGCATCGAATTTGAGCTCGAGAACGAAAGCGTGGCACCTCACGGCCTGGAGATATTCATTCCTTTACCGTGAGTTCATCTTATACCCTTGACCTATCCCACCTCTCAATAGCTTTTAGTGCAGGATCCTACCCGACAGTCTCATCACACACTGGTGAATGGTCGCTTGAACCCAACTCCAATTCACTTGCGTGGACCACTGCCATTGTAGATGGTGGGTACCCCGTTTTTGGGTCCTCTTTGAAGTGCTGAATACTTTCTAAGCATCATCGCGAAGCTGTTTACTGTTGAGGGTGATGATCCCGAGACATTTTTCCCAGTCCGTGTTGCCTTTGTTGGCAAGGTACGTGGTGGCGTGGGCCAAATCTACTTGTTATTCTAAACGAGGAACAGGGTAGTCTCGCGGGTGTGGGCATTGCACAAACGTCGCTTGAGGACGGCGCAGATGCAGTCTTTTCTGTCGACTCGGTAGTCACTGCCGATGGCTATTTCGTTGTCTGAGTTATTTTCGTACTGGGCATGATGTACAAATTCAACAGAAACCATCAGTTATTCATTGTTTCTTGCCTCTTCTTCTGTACTTACCCCTTGCTCTTCAACCTTTCCACTGCGCAAGCCGCTCTGTTCCTTGATTCCTCCAGTCATCGGTCCGTCTGATTCTGTCTGATTAATCACCGAATCTAGACACTATTCCTTCATTTAACCCACCACCACCACCATGTCAAAGCTGCTCAGCGACCTCTGGGCCAGCACTCCCTCGGCTCTATGTTGCGCTCAAAATGCGTCGAGTTACCCATTGATGCTGAATCAGAATCTCTGACGGTCTGTTCTTCTTTCTCTGCCCATAAGTACTCTACTCACAATGGTGTAGCGTGGTACACCAAGAAGTCGTGATCACACATGTGCGGAGCTGCAATCTCAGTTTGCTGCAGCAACTCTCGTGGGTGGTAAAACAGACTACAAGACGATGAAAACCGACTCTGGCGTCAAGGACACTTACATGGAGGCCTTTTTTGACAGGATGTTTGCTATTTCAACAAAACCTGCTAACCTTTCACACTGTGCGTGTTGTCTTTTCTCTCTTGTTTACCCTTCCTTACGCCCTCCAGCATAAATGCAAATCAAGTCTCTGACCGGCCTCCTGCGGAGACAAAATCAGCATTCGACATCAGGATATCGGCAATCGACTTCAAGTTCACTCGCAAACCCACTCTCGCTCAATTTGTCCACCCATTCACAGCAATGAACTATCCCAACACTCCCAGCCAGCACAACACTTGGTCGATGGCCAGCTCGCCTACTCCCACGCTCTATGCAGCCTCCGCCGCTGGCAGCGATATCACCATTGACAACCTCCCAACTCCAACCAACTTTGCGGACGCGCTTGCCAACTCGTTTGATATCTCAATCCGGACTATCGCGGGGACCTTCACGCGTTCAACCAGGTTCAACTCTTCATTTCATATGTCCTTCACTCATTGCTTGGTATAGCTTGGTTTGCAGCCGAACGGACTGTCGTTGCAAATGACCTACGTACTCGCTTCAAGGGACTTCAGATCGCCGAGCGTGTCTATGCCTACCACGAGGACATCAAGAGCGTGCTCCAGGAAGCTATTATGGCGCTCGGTCAAAACACGAGCCTGACCAACGAACAGAAGGCTAGTCCACTTGCAGCATTATATCCTCTCTCATCATTGCGTGGATACCTCTATATCCTATATGAAGTTAACTCAACCGTGAATCGAAGGCCAACATCATGCGGAGCCACATCGTCGACGACAAGCATAAAAAGCGAGAATCGTCGGTGTGCTCAGCCTTTCCAACCCGACCTGCTTACAACAAGAAACCAAGTTCAACGATGGGAGAAATGTTCGATGCAGGTGAATACCGTATACTCACGGACAGCCCAGACCTCGTCGTCAAGTGCGCAAAATTTCAAACTGGACACAAGTTGAAAGACATCTCGAATCCGGAGCTCGACGCAGAAAACCGTCCAGCTTGATCATGGTTGTTGGCGTCATTTCTGACGATAACCAGGCCCTCAAGGCAATTGGAGAATTCGGACCGGAAGTTTGCGAGCGCGAAGTTTTCGATGCAGTTGGCCAAACCACACCAATTGGTATTCAACTGAAAATCTTAGGTATCTGTATGGGCTCCCTTGGAAAAGAAAACCTTCACGCACTTAGAATAAAAATCTCAACAACCTCGAGCCAGCAATACCTGATCACCCCACTTCGTCATCAACCACATCGACAACGTCAATGGTAATGTAATTTCAAGCTGACACCATAATACGTATACTCATTGTGTGTTATATAGGTGTACTCAAACGAGTTGTCGTCTTGAAAGAACCACCGTCACGCTCACTAACCTATTCAAAAAAGGAGCTGCGAAACCTTCTCGGCCATCTGCAATGTCAATGGAAATGCGTCAAAAGCAACAGGAAATGAAGGCAGTATTTGGGAAGCGTGCACTGGCAGGAAGTGCGATCGCGGGGCCTTCGAATGTGGTCTGTGCAAAGCTTTTGTCCATTGCTTCCATAATACTGACTGAATTCTTAGGTGACAAGTGTCCGCGAAGCGCTGCTGCTGAATCAGAAGAGAAAACAAGCAAAAAAAAGGTCCAGGAAGGACCCACAGTGCCCAATGCAACGGACACAAATATTCCAAACCCGGTCACTCGTGATTCCACGAAGACGTGACACCGGGCCATCGCAATCAATTGCAGTACTGTGAAGAAATTAGTAAATGTTTACAGCGACCTCAAGACTAAAAAATCATCAGCCCTCTGTTTTCGTTCTGTTTGTACCGCCGCGCGCCGGCTCATTTTCATTTACTTAGTGTTGTTCAACTTGTTGGGTAACAACTTGAAACAAGAAGTTACCACGTGACTCGGTACTCTGAAATTTCTACCATCATCGTATTTGGCTCCAGCCTCAGCCTAAGGATTAATCCTGCCGTGAAACATAGCGAGAAGGCAATCTTAAAGGTAGGTGGAGCCCCGCTAACTTGAATACAGAAAGACCCAGTCTACTGCGCTGACAAGAACTCCACTCAGATGCCGCAGCCTAAGCTAACCCACGCGGATCGCGCACTGTGTCGGATTCTCTACTACGAGTACAAATGGACGTACAATCTTATCGCAAAGGCTTTTGGCCGAAAAGTTACTGGAGGAAATTCGCCCATTCGACGAGCGGTGAAAAACATCCCAGACTGCAAAAAGTCCGACCTTGATGATACGTCGAGAGATAATGAATTCGTCGACAAGGCCAGATTGACTAAACTGGTCCGCAAACACCACCACCCCCAACCACGCCGCTTCCATTCTACCTCACATGCTCAGACAGCTCAGTTCAAACCGGCTACAGATGTAGATGGACAAAATGCTGCTGATAATAACCAGAGCAGCCTCACCCCATCGAACAATGACCTGAACAGAACTAGCTTTGTCAGCTTGCGCGCGTATAACCAGACGCCATTCGAGTCGCTCACCGAATTCCTCACAAACATCCGGCCGGAAATTGATCTCTCTGATCGACACGACTTGTTCGTTCATCGAGGTATCAACACCATCGCAAAACTTCGCGCGATGAAGAACTGGGGCAAAGAAGACCTCCACGAAGCACTGAGCGAGTGGTTCCAAGTCGTGAAAGAGTGCGAGAGATATGCCCCGCTCAACGACTACGAGCTTGTGGCACTTCGACAGGCTATCCAAAAGCTATAAGAGAACGCGCGGACAAAAAGACCACTGACATGGTCAACTAGATTTGAGTACAATAGAACTAGCAGGGACCCGTGCTACGCTACGGGGCTCAAGCGATGATGGCAGGGGATTCAAATTAAGGTAGATATACTGACTATTTTTAAGCAGATACTTGGAAATGTATTTAATTTTGCGTCGTGACATTCATATGCCCAAGATTGTGTCGAGCGCGAGGTTTCGTGTAAGGCTGGCGAGCCGGTGGAAGATCAGTGTTGCCAACATGCTGGCGGCGGACATTTGTGGCTTGCCGTGGTTGTGAAAGTGGGTCTGGTCGTAGTACGTGAGGCCTTAGAGGTGACTGCAGTATCGAAGATAGTTAACATGGTTCTTAATGATGTAAAGTTAGAACGGTCAGAAATGAAGATAAAAACATACCTGGCTGTGTGTCTGGCGGCGTCGAAAGCTGCTGTCGTTCTTCATTGGCATGCTTGAGAGGGCGGATAGGGCGGGGGACCAAAGAAGAGTGAGAAAATATTAGGGAAAAAAAGTTAAAGAAACCGGCAGACCTGGTCTTCCAGGTTCCTGCGGCTGAAATGGCAGGATTCCGCACCAATTTCTCCTGTCGAACAGTTTGCTGTTCCTCTCATTTTCAGCACTGTCGTTCCCATCATTGTCGCCGGCCTATTGAGCGTTTGACGCGCCTTAGATTTGCGTTGCTGGAGGGGACGGAAGAAGCAGCTAAACCAAAACATTAGCTCGAGCCGTTGGAAAAATACAAACACAAACCGTTAATCGATGTGCATTTGCAGGCAGCATTAGCAATGGTGGTGGTGGTGGTGGTGGTGGTGGTGGGGGAGGGGGAGGGGGAGGGGGAGGTAGAATGAGCTACAAACACGTTAACATATGTAAAAGAATCAAACAAAAAACACGGACATACATTGACCCAACGTCTTGAAGGGGCTGGAGTTGGAGAAGAAGCTCTGTTCTCCACAGAAGTCACATTTGGAGTCGTTCGAAGCTGTTGGCTGGGAGTATCCTGCTGAGCAAACACTACTTCGTGACTCTGCTCGCGCTGGACAGCTTGTTATGGTTGTGCATCTCCTCCAAGGTTGGTATGATCTCCTAGTGCTGTGCGATTGACCAAGATTCGACGTGGAGACATGTAGGGAGGCGAATTGGCATCGTTTCGGTGCTGCTGAATACAGCGAGGGTTGCAGGGAAGGGAGAGAGGAGTCAGGAGTCAGCAACCTGTTCAAAATAGAGGATTAGAGTGTGTTTGCAGGCCAGAATATCACTCACACTGAGATTTTGTACTTGCAGTACAGTACGCCCTGTGACTCAACAGAGTGAGTTCAAGATTGTGTTGGCCAGTGTCGCAAACTGAGACTCAGGTATCATCTACCCAGAGACAGGCAGGTTGCAGAGGGGGCAAGTGTGGTTGTATTGAAGAATGTAGAGAAATACAAAGCTCGTGCATGGTTGAAATTGAATGGGATGTGGCTACGCGGTAGGTAGTTTTGTCGTTGTCAGGGTTGGCAGAAAGTCATGTTGTCTGGGGCCTTAGGAGGCGGGAAATCGAATAAGTCGGTGTCTGGAAGTCAAGTAGTCCGGTAGTTATGAGCCATGGGCGGCACTGAGGACCCATAGCGTCTGGCAGAAGAGAGGAGAGGAGAGGCGAATTGACTTTTGAATGACGCGATCTCATTGGCTCATCACTCCTGATGTCACGAAAAGTGACACCGAAGTCTCTTGTATAATAAGATATGTACCACTTTGCAACACTCACAATGAGACATTTTCCCATCTACGAGATTATCTCTGGCAAACAAGAGGTTAGCATACTCAGGAGGGAGGGCACTTCTGTTCAGAGAACGATAACGTTGACTGAACTCAGGCACTGGATGATCATGTGAAATCAGATGATCATTGATAATTGTTGCTATGCGACATCTCATCAAGTTTGCTCGAACCATGCAACTCCATCATGGACCGTCCCGGTTTCACCGCCTGCCGGGAGGACGGGTGGTGTCAGCGATGGCACTCGGCTGGTCCCTGCATGACTCCATCGGATGGCGCAGCTTAGATGACCAATATCGACACAGTGCCAAGCCTGCGGATCCTCAATACTGCACGTGACCACGGAATATCGGACCGGTACGCAGTCCTCGTGGATGGGCGTGTCGCTGTCACAGGTGTGGGGAAATGATGAGGAGCACAGCGAATGATTATGGATGTGGCAGAGCGCGTGTTCCTCAATGATGCACGCTTGAGTTGGCTTTTCTCGAATGTCGAAGACACGCTGCATAATCGTATTTATGCCTTTCATCAAAATGGGCTCCCCAACCGTAATTGACGATGGCACGCGGATGACTTGGATAAGCGGGAAACGCAAAAGAGTGTCAAGCAGGTCCACGTAAGATTGAGATGCAGTAGCCTCTCGTGACACTGAGAAGGAAGGGACACCATGGAGTTGGGTCAAATCAAGGTGCTGGAGGTTCGAAAAACCAATAAAAATGGTCGAATACTCATTGGCAATATATAGTGGTGGAAGCTCCCGGAGGCGCGAAGGTCTGTAATGCGGCCAAAGATTTTGGAATTTTGCTGACAAAAGCTGCTCACGCAATCCTTGTGTATCATCTCGATTTCGAGAGCGTGAATATTAGGTCCGTCGATGTGGGACACGAACCGGCCACATCGATGCATATGCTGGTTAATGAGATGTCCACAATTACAGCTGACGGACAAGGAGCGGAGGGAGGAGAGCTCCATACGGGGGATGTGTCAGGGGAACCTCCCTTTCGGCCCCTCGGAGACGATTCCGATTCCGGTCCGACTCCGGTTCCGACTCCGGTGATCGCATCACCGCCTCCGTCAGGCGCATCGCCGCCCCCGCCTGGCGATCCCCCTGGGACCTGGCCTGCGACATGGCGCAGGCATACTGCACAGAGCAACGATCAACCTTGGCGCGTCAAGAGCGCAGTATATAGTTCCACTACCTAGCAGGCGGACCCTTAGAGTTTCTTCTCTTTGGATCCTCCCCTGCTAGGTCAGCCTCACTTGTATTTGCTTACTTCTATTCACTCTTTGGATCCTCCCCTGCTAGGACCTTGATCTCAGGCCTCTGGGGTTGCCCTTACAGCAGAAGAAACTCTCTACGGGATCAACCGGACAAGATTGCCAGGTTCGGCGCTGACTCAGGCTCGGAGTCCGAGTCCACTCCGCCCTCGCCACCGCCCCTGCCACTTGTCCCCTCCTCCTCTGCCACTCCTGTCGTCCCCGCACCTGTCATGCCTTCCGGAGCTACTCCTGACGCTGACACTCGGCTGGATGCACTCGAGGCGAAAATCGACCGCCTAACTGAGGCCCTTACTCTCCTCACCACCCAGGCTTCCGCTGCCGCTGCCGCCGCTAATACTGCTGGCGGACCCCAAACACCACCACCGGAGACGTCGATTCCGACTCCGACTCCGGTTCAGGGCGATTCCGAGGCCCTCTTTGGCGACATCAACCTCGCCTCAAAATTGGTTTTACGACCAAACCCCCCGTTCACCTTTAACGGCGATCGGAAACGCGGCCGCGTTCCTCTCTACGCGGTCCGCACCTACGCCCGCCTTGCCCCTGAGGCCTTCGTGGTCAATGGAGAGGCGAGCAAGGAAAAGGCCGTCCGCTATGCCATGTCGTTTATGGCAGAAGGACCTGCTCAGCAATGGGCGGAGCGCCACGGAAGCAAAGCCCCGTTTCCGTTTCCGTCCTGGGGCTCGTTCGTTTCCGAAGTTTCGACTCCGGTTCGTCGAGGAGAATGAGCAAGATCACGCTCTCTCCAAACTGGAGACTTCCGCCTATCACATGGGCACCAAGGATGTCTACCAGTACACCGACGACTTCGAGGACCTGATGGACCTTGCCGGATTCGAAGACACGTTGGTCAAGGTGACCAAGTTCCGCCACGGACTTGATCCCTTGATCAACAACGGAATCACATCCTCGAACGACCCCCCGGACCTCCGGGACTACCTTAGCTGGCGCACCCGGGCCTTCTGTCAATACGAGGCCCTGGTCCGGGCCAAGCTGATCAAGTCAGCCGCCCCCAAGACGCCTGGCGGTTTGATTCGGACTCCGTTTCCAGTCAACCGCGTCCCGGCTCCGGCCCCCTTCCGCCC